AAAGGGACATTCCACCAAGAGAACGTAACACTTATTAATATACATGCCCCTAACACAGGGGCACCAAAGTACATAAAGCAATTATTAACAGACCTAAAGGGAAAAATTAAGAGCAACATAATAATAGTAGGGGACCTCAGCAGCACCCCACTCACATCAATGAACAGATCGTCCAGAAAAAAAGTCAACAAGGAAATAGTAGATTTAAATGAAACACTTGATGAGATGGACTTAATAGATATATATAGAACATTCCATCCAAAAAGAGCAGAATATATGTTCTTCTCAAGTGCACATGGATCATTCTCAAAGATAGACCATCTGGTGCGAAACATGGCAAGCCTCAATAAATTTAAGAAGATTGAAATCCTGTTGCCGTTAAAGGAATTAAATCTGTAATGAACATTTTCCCCACAAAGAAATGGCATGCCCAGATGGTTTTATAGGCAGGTTTTACCAAACATTCAAGCAGCCCATGCGTGAGGTCTCTATGGAGAAAATATTGAAGGAGATTGAAGAAAATCTAACAAATGGTTAGAGATACATTATTCATGGATAGGAAACCTCAATATCATGAGTATGTCAGTTTCTTCCCAAATTCACCTGTAGATTCAATGCAATTCCAAACCTAATCCCAATAGGGTCTTTCCTGGCATTTGCAACCAGATTCTAAAATGAATATGGAAAAAGTAAAGAGAGAGGGTTATCTTTTTTGATCACCACGAAGGAACACCAGGCAGGGAGACTTGTGCTCTGAAACATTAAGATTTATTATCCATGATCACTGTGATGAGATAGTGCATTTTTGGTGCAGGGAGAGTTAAGCTGAGAGAGGAAGAGAGTGCAGCCACCAAAACAGACCCGCAAATATATGAGCCCTTAATTCACAACAGAGGTGGCTCTGCAGATCTGTGGGGAAGGAGAATTACTCAGGGGCTGGCAACTGTGTGTGTAAAGAGCCAGGGAGTAAACATCTTAGGCTTTGTGGGCCTCAAGGCGTCCAATGCAGCAATTCAACTCTGCTGTTGTAGCGTGAAAGCAGCCCAAGGCAATACTCGTCTATGTATTGTAATACACGGCTGTGTATCCAATAAAACTTTATTTATAAAAAAGCCAAAAACATAACTTTATGTGCGCCAAGATTTAAATTTCATGCACTTTTCATGTGTCATGAATTACTATTAGCCTTTTTGGGATTTTTTTTTTTCAAACATCTAATAATGCAAAACCATTCTTAGCTACCAGGCTGTATGGAAACAGGTGGAGGGCTGGATTTGGTCTGTGGGCCATGGTTTGCTGATCCTCAACCAATAAATGGGACTCAAGCAACTGGGTAGCCATATGGACTCTGCACTGTACAGAAACAGTCAGTTTGGGGAGGATTTCAGACTTATATGTGAAAGGCAATGTGTTAGTCAGGGTTCCCCAAAGAAACAGAACCAATAGGAGATATGAGGAGATGTATTGTAGGAATTGGCTCACACTGTATGGAGGCCAAGAAGTCCAATGATCTGCCATCTGCAAGGAGAGAACCAAGAAAGCTGGTGGTGTAATTCAGTCTGAGTCCAAAGGCCCAAGAACCAGGGGAGCGGATGGTTGAAGCCCTGGAGTCCAAAGGCTGGAGAACCAGGAGCTCCCATGTCTGAGGGCAGGAGAAGATGGCAATCCCAGCTCAAGATGAAAGCATTTGTCCTTCCTCCGCCTTCCTTGTTCTATTTGGGGCCCTCAGTAGATTGGATGATGCCTGCCCACACTGGTGAGGGTGATCTTCTGTCCTCAGCCTACTAGTTCAAATGTTTGTTCTCTTCCAGAAACACCCTCACAGGCACACCCAGAAATAATGTGTTACCCCAGGCTAGAGGACATCCCTTAGGCCAGTCAAATTGACTCATAAAATTAACCATCACAGGCAAAAATAAAAAATTTTTAGAAGGGAAGATCTTTATGACATTGCTGTAGTTCATAAGCACACACCCCCCAAAAAAGGACAAAAAGAAAGTAAAGCACAAAAAGATAAATCTGATTCCATCGAATAAGAATATCTGTTTATCAAAATACACCATAAAAGTAAATGAGAAGGCAAGGGAACACTAGATGTTTGTAACACAAAAACTGACAAAGGATTAGTATTCCTAACATATAAATAACACGCAAATCGATAAGAAAAAAGACAAACAACCCAACAGAAAAGTAGACAAATATGTTAATGGCCCCTCCACAGAGGAGTAAATACAAACCTTCAATAAACTTGTGACAAAGTGGGGCACTTCATAAGTAATTATAGAAATGTGAATTAAAAGATCCTGTGCTACAGCTACCATGCTGACAAATATTGAAAAAGATGTTGAGCAATTGCCATTCTGGTCTGCTGCCGGTAGGAAGCTTCATGTTGCATCCTTTCTCTAATGAAGCTGGAGACAGCCGTACCGTACCGCCCAGCAACTCTGGTTTGGGACCCTTGAGTGATAATGTCAATTTAGTGAGTAACTGTCAATATTACTAAAAACATTAAATGAAACAGAATGATAGAGAATAGAATTTATCAGAGTGTATCTCATCTAGTTTTTTGGTAAATTTTTGGTAAGACTTTTGTTTACATCCTTCAAGTCTATGTATATCCTGACGCATTGTGAAATGTATTTCTCACTGTGGGTCTTGGTCACAAGAGTGTGAAAGCGTCTGCCTAGAGAAGAGCCTCCAGGTGCACCAGGAGGCTTGCGCGAGGATGCTCCTGGCAGTTTGGTCAGTAATGGCGACACGCTGGGAGAACCCGCGCTGCTCATTGACAGGACGCAGGATAATTAAACTGTGCTGCATTCTACAGCGGGAATATCGGGAACACGAATGAACAGTGGCTACAGACCATCAACATGGAACTTAATCTGGAGCAAAAATAATGTGGAATGCGTGATTTTTGATTCTGTTTTTACCAAATTCAGAAAATGCAACCTAACATATATTGTAAAGGGATACATTTACATGTGCAAATGTTTTCAAAAAGCAAGACAGTAAAGGACACAAAATTCAGGAGAGTGGTTACAACCATATTAGGAGGCAGAGGAACATGGGGCCAATGTTTGTTTATAACAGCTTTCTGGAGAAATGATTCACACAACATACAGTTCACACATTCAAAGTGTACAATTCAGTGGTTTTTAGTATCTTCAGAGTTGTGAAACCATCACTGCAATGAAGTTTAGAACATTTCGTCACCTCAAAAACAAATCCATACCCCTTACCTATCATCCCCCAGCCTCGCTAACCCCCTCAGCCCTAAACAATCACTAATCTGTGTTTTGTCTCTATATATTTGCCCATTGTAGTATCTGGACATTACATATAAATAGAATCTTGTAATATGCGGCTTTGGGAACTGGTTTCTTGCACTAGCATGCTTTCGAGAATCTTCCATGTTGTAGAATGAATCTTCCTTCCTTTTTATGGCCACATAATATTCCATTGTATCAACACACCCCATTTTGTTTATCATCAGTCGATGGACGATTGGGTTCTGTCCACCTTTCTATAATTATAAACAATGCTGTTATGAACATCTGTGTACAGATTTTCTTGTGTCATGGGACTTATTTAAGATCCTGAATATTTTCTATTTCTGCAACTAGGTTGTTGCTACATGGTGTTTCATTGTTATTTCTTACATCTTACACTTACAGATATTCTCCTATATAGATATAAGATTTAACAAAGCTCATTTAAAAGTATGCATAGTCTAAGATATTTCTGGAAGGATACCAAGAAACTGATGTTTTCCTCTAAAGGGGGGAAACGGGTGGTTGGGGGTTGGAAGTGGGGGATATGGAGGCTGACCTTTCCCTTTATGGCCTTTTACAATTAAATATATACAACTTAGTGCTATCTCGTCAAGATGGTGGCATAGGCATGCTCTGAACTCATCTCCTCCCATGAACACAACACAGGGCAGAGAATTTTTTTTTTCAGGAAGATTAGCCCTTAGCTAACTGCTGTCAATCCTCCTCTTTTCACTGAGGAAGACTGGCCCTGAGCTAACATCCATACGCACCTTCCTCTGCTTTATATGCGGGACACCTACCACAGCATGGTGTGCCAAGCAGTGCCATGTCGGCACCTGGGATCCAAACCACCGAACCCCAGGCTGCTGAAGAGGAATGTGCGCACTTAACCACTGTGCCACTGGGCAGCCCTGAGGCATTTTTTAAAATGCCCTTTGAAAAGAAAAGAAAATCCAGTGAACTAAAGTGTCAACACACACACACAAGTGTACTTAGAAGCTGGTCATTAGATGAATTGGCTGTTCAGAGACTGACGTTACACCAACAGGCTTTCTGTGAGCCACACTGCATCCAGCAGGTCTACAGCCCCAACCTGAGGGTTCTGGGGGCCATCACTTCGCCGTGTCATTCCAGCTTCCCTGGGTGAGGCAGCAGCCCAGGGTCCCCTTTAGAAGTGAATCGGAGAATTTAGATCTAGGACAGTGTGCACCTCCTGATTTAATTTGTAGATGGTAAAAGTGGGTGAGAAGAGAAGGGACTTGCCTGAGCCACAGAGCGGTGAGCCAGGGCTGACCCTGGGCCCTGGATTCCCAGGTCAGGCCTCCATCCTGCTCTGCGGCTTCCTTTCTTAATATTTCTAAATGCCACCCTCGCCTGCGGGCCCCACGGCTCTGGCTCAGGGAGGCCCAGTGACGGTTTCCAGGCCACAGGCTAGCGAGGGGAAGCTGGGATGAGGACCTGCGTGTCTTCTGCCTCCTCTCTTTGCCCTGCGTGGCTCTGCCTTGACCTGACTCTGTCGGGGACGTCACGTGGTCCTTCAGAACAACTCATGTCCTTTGCTTTAGAAATGAGGAAACCAGTGCCCAGGGACTTCTGGTGACTTCTCCAGAGTCACCCAGGCTGGAGTCTGACTCGTTCTTGAGGCCAGGCTGGCCAGACCCTTCCTCAGCTCATCCTTATTGATGGTGCCAAGGGCATTGGGGCAGCCTGCTGGGCCCGCTCTGAGCCCCTGTGGGCCTGCCCATGTCGGACTCCCTGTTTCCTCTGTGTGAATCCACAGATGACATCGCGGGAGCTGCTGCCTCCAGCATCATGTGCACCCTGACTGAGAAGGCCATAGTGAAGAAGGAACCGCTGTGTGTCGTGGCCGGGAGGGACAAGTACCAGGTCAATAACAAACACAATGACAAGTACCGGCCGCTGCCTTCCAACAAAATCATCCAGCGGGCGGAGGAGCTGGTGGGGCAGGTGTGGCCCTACTCGCTCACCAGCGAGAACTGCGAGCACTTTGTGAACGAGCTGCGCTACGGAGTCTCCCGCAGCGACCAGGTGCGTCCTCAGCCCGTGTCCCGTCCCCTGGACCCAGACCATTCCCTCAGCTGACAGTGGCTGGGTGTCAGCCTGGGCTGGGCTGGGGTGGAGACAGGGGCATGAACAACACAAAACAGCAGAGACAGAACCCTGTCCTTGAGAACGTCACTGTCAGGGTGGGGACGAGGGTGGGAAGGCACAGCAGACTAGTGCAGTTAGGGGGCGATGGCCCAGGACGTGAGTCGCAGAATGATGGTCAGCCCCGTTGCCGAGCCCTGCCTGGCCGCCTGGCCCTGAGGTGAACCCTTCCCACAGCCCCAGAGGCAGGTGTTATTATGCCCGCTTTAGAGATGGGGAAACTGAGTCTCACAGCACTTGAGTAGCTTGTCCAAACTCACTCGACAATTAGGTATTGAGTCTCTAGGACGCGACTGCCACTGTGCAGAGGTGGGATTTGAACCCAGGTCTGCCCTGCTCCCAAGGCCTTGAGCAAGGAAGGCTTCACAGAGGAGGTGACACCTGAGCTGAGTCTGACTTCATTCTTTTGATTAATCTGAAACTGGAAAATGAGCTGGAGATTACCAGGGAATAGGGGCAGTGAGAAGTGTAGACAGAGGGAACAGTGTGAGCCGGGAGGAAGAACAGCCCAGGTTATGTCAGGCAAACTTTTTCTGTGAAAGGCCGGATGGTAAATCTGTGAGGCTTTGTGGCCCACATGGTCTCGCCGCTCCACTCTGCCGTGGTAGCTTTGTAGCACAAAAGCGGCCTCGGACAATATGTAACTGAAGGGGCCAGACCGTGCTCCAGTAAAAGCATTTTTACAAAGACAAACGCCAGGCTGGATTCGACCCACATGCCGTAGTTTGCCGACTCCTGGTCTAAATTAATGTGAAAAACCACGTACCCCTGCACACATGTTTAGGTGATGTCAAGCATTTTAAAAAATCATAAATACAAAATATTTCCAAGGGTGGAATTTCTGATACATTGAACATGGTGTACATGCTTTAAGTACATATTTTCCTCATATCCTTGGAGTTGCACGTTTAGCTCATTCAATTAATGAAAACTGTTGCGTGTAATTTAAATAGCCAAGCCAGGCATTATTGTCAAACCAATCAGCCAAGTCAGAATTAATTTCTTTTAGAAAAAAAGGTGGCAAATTTTCATGTCAAACAGACATGTTAAAGTACATTTTTCTGACAACTGTCTCACTTCAGAATTTGAATCTAAAACACTAGATGGATAAGAGGGAGCTTCCCTGGAGGTGGGTTTGTGGTGACATATTTCTCCCTGAAGTCCTGTCTGTTTGGGAGCAGAGCATTCCCGAATCATCCCTACTGGCATCCAGGAAGGCTTACACCTTAGGCCATGCACTGTAGATGCAGGATGGCTGAAGGTTAGGCTTCTTTTGTAAGTCAGGAGAAGGGCTCTGGTGAAAGGGGAGGTGGGCAAAGAGAACCACACCTGCTGGAAATGAGGACCCCAGGATGGAGCCCGGGCTATTAGCTGAGGCACCGTTCCTGGCCCCGGGGCCCAGTGGGAACTGCTCCAGGGTGCCGGGCAGTCACCCTGCTGATGGGGTCCCCCTCCTTTTAGCTGAGGAGGGTAGACCTGCCTCTGGTTGGCAGGGGTGGCAGGCTGTGGGGTGGGGCTGAGCTGCCGTATCATGCATCTAAAAGCTTGCCCAAAGGCTGTGCTGAAGCCCCCAGGATCAACGTGGGAGACCCCAGCTTTTCGAGGGTGGTTGGCCCTCTGCTGTGCTTCTGAGGGGTTAGAAGTCGAGACAGCAGGAAGGACTCGGGGGAGGCGGGTCTTTTCATCTAGTTAATGTGCCCCTTGCCCCGCCACCCCTCTTTCTGAACTCCTTCCACTGCCGGTAACTCATTAGCTTACCTTTCTTTCTCCCTCTCACTGCTTTGTCAATTTAGAAAGAAAATTTGCCTGTTATTTTATCTCAAAATGACTTTACTCGGGAAAAGCCAAAAGAACTGTAACTCACGACGTGCATGCTACGGCAGAGCACAGGCAAATGTGGAAAAGAAAGGAGAGGAGCTGCTTTTATAGAGAAAAGGTGGGGGGGGGGCGTGGGGAGGGGCCTTTCTAAAGGAAAGTCCATGGGGGGAAAGTAAGACTGCAGGGCAGCAACAGCTTCCCATTGGCTGAGCTGTGGTGTTTCTCATTGGCTGAGCTGTGGCGTTTCTCATTGGCTGAGCTGTGGTGTTTCTCATTGGCTGAGCTGTGGCGTTTCTCATTGGCTGAGCTGTGGCGTTTCTCATTGGCTGAGCTGTGGAATTTCTCATTGGCTGAGCTACAGAATTTCTCACTGGCTGGGCTGTTGCGCTTCCTTCAGTAGTTACGTAGCTTTACTTCCCGTCCACCTTTTCCCTCATTTGGTCTAATTGACGATGCATGACAGGGCATGAGAGCTCCCCCTACAGGCCTTCCTGACTCCAATTTAGTTAAGATTTTTTGACATTAATTTCCACTCCTCTTCTGACTCTGTCTCTCCAGAAAGACACTCCTCTGTCCATCTCCTTCTCTGTAAGAAAGTGGACTTGTGACAAGGGCAGAGCTCTCAGCACAGAAGACTCCATCCAAACTTCTGCACTAGAGATGACCACACTCTAGCAGGGCTTCCAGCAACAGGAGGCCACGTCCCTAGGGTGACCCCAGCTCCCCTTAAATGCCTGCCTGGAAAAGCTCCCGCTGCCAGGAGAACTTACTGCTCCTTCCAGCCAACGTCTGAGGATGGGGCCATGACCTCCCTGTCTTAGAGCCTTTACTTAAAAGGGGCTTACAGTTATAAATCCCATCTCTGCCCCTGTGAGGTGTATGTGTATCTCGTATATCCTACAACTCAGAAGCTCTCCCTCCGGGACCTGGAAGCCATTCCCTTGAATGTAGTCATTAGGAAGGACCAGCCCGTCCCCTGTCTCGTGGGAGGGTAGAATCCTAACTTCCGTATTTGCCAACTAGCAGACACAACTGGCCTAATCCCACTTACCCTGACCAATTCTTTACAGTTTTTCACTTTTCTGACTCTCCTGAGCCCCCGCTCTCCCAACTCCCTCATTCTCTCTTTAAAACACCCGGTTGCCTCTGTGCAAATCAGAATGGATCTCAGCTCTTTTCCCGACTGGCAATACTTGTGAACAAAATCTGTTTTCACTGCTTTAGCTAATATCCAGCTTTGTTTATTTTTGACACTTGGAGAGGTTTCTGGGTGCCTTTGAATGAAACAGCGTTTTTTGTTTGTCTTTTCCCCAGCCACGCACACAGCTCAAATTCATCTATGAGCCGCAGAAATCTGCTCTTTGGCCGCTATTTGGAGTATTTGTTCACTCCCTGTGAAGGGCTTAAGTGTGTCTGCTAGGATGTCAAGCAGCTCTGGGCCCTGTCACTTGCCAGCTGTGTGGCTTTGTGTGAGTTCCTTCCACTGTCCATCCTCAGTCTTCTCCTTTGTAAAGTGGGAATATACTATGGTTATAAATAGGGTTGTTGGGCAGATTAAGAAAAATACGGTGCCTGTTAAGTTCCCAGCTCAGCGCTGACAGCTGGAAAGCAGCCATTCTCGTGGCCTTTGCTGGTCCCCCGACACAGTGATGTGGGCAGGGTGGGGCCCACAGGCTCTCACCAGCTGTGCTGAGAACAACGATGCTCAGGGGTCAACCTTATGTCTCTACTGCATCGTGTGTTTTTTTCAGAGTAGTCACTTCCTTTAGCAGAGCCCTTTTCCTATCAGATCACAAGTGAAGTCATCTTATTTCATAAAAGCACAGACTCAGTGCTACTCATAGTGAAGACATTTGTTCAGCAGACGGATCGTGAGTGCCTCCTCTGCCTGGAGGTGGGCTGAGTGAACACCTGGGACTCTGAGGACAATCCAGGCGCTTTCTCTGCCCTCAAGCCCTGAGTAGTGAGAGTTCACAGGGCGGGTTTCCCAACTTCACACTTGCTTCAAGGTGCCCACTTGGCCAGCCCTGACCTGGAACATCCGGGCACTGTCCCTCTGTCATTTCCACAGCCATTCCTCGAAGGGTTATTATGCCTTAAATCCCCACAGGGGGATCGAGTCTCTATTCGAGTCTCTATTTCACACCTACAGCTCCTTCCTCCTCTCATTCTTTCCCCACCGGGCACCTCCTCCGCTCTTTCCTGGGTGGCTTGCCCTCTTGGGATCTGCCCTCCTTGCCCATATTTGTTCCCTCTGTGGTTCCACTAAAGAGAACAAGGGCCAGAGAGATCGTTCCTGAGATGAAGGTTCTTGGTGTATGTATCTGTCGTCAGATGCCTGATGCTGAGTGTGACCCCTCCTCTCTTCTGCTGCAGGTCACTGATGTGGTCAGGACAGCAGGCGTGACAGCAGGCGTCCTAGGGGTGGGCCTGGCTGCCACAGTCCTCATCGGGATGGCCAGAAGCAAGCGGGAAAAGCAATAAGGACAAGGAATTGCCCCGAGAGCAGCCCGTTTTATGGAGAAACCTGGTTTAGCCAGCAGGCATGGAGTTTGGTTTATTGATTTCGCTCTTTGTGGTCATTTAGATTTATTTTAATGGAGCTAAATAAAAGCACTGGAAGGTTTTATTTGGGGAAATGCAGGCTAGCGTGAACTCTATTAAAGACACAGTTGGGCTCTGTTATGGACTGAACGTTTGTGTCCCCCCAAATTTATGTTGAAGCCCCAACCCCCAATTGGATGGGACCTGGAGGCGGGGCCTTTGGGGGATAATTACCATTAGGTCATGAGGATGGGGCCCCCATGACGGGATTAGTGTCCTTACAAGAAGACAGAGAGAGACCAGAGCTCTGTCCCTTTCTCTCTCTCTCTCTCTCTTCTCTCTCTCTCTCTCCCCCCTCCATGTGAGGACACAGGGAGAAGGCAGCCATCCGCAAGCCAGGAAGAGGGTCTTCACAGGAACCAAATCTTGATCTTGGAATTTTCTGCTTCCAGAACTGTGAGAAATAAACGTCTGTTGTTTAAGTGACCAAGTCTGTGATATGCTGTTATGGCAGCCTCCAATTCTGATACCAAATTCTAGTGTCTGTGTGTGTGTGTGTGTTTTCCGCACACCATCGAGCAATTCTCTAACACCAGCTGGGTGACCTATAATTCAACTCAGTTCTGACTCCAGCTGCTGGGAGATAGGTCAATTCCACAGCTTCAGGGTTCAGTCTTACAAGATGATATAGGGCAGATGCATAGGGCAGGGTACGTGGGAAGGGGCACGGAGCTTCCATGTTCTCTGAGCGTGTCGCTCTCCCCAAATCTCCACAGCTCATCCACCTGGAAGATCTCTGGACCCTGGATTTGGGGTTTCTAAGGAGGCTTCAGTACATAAGCTTATTGGTTAAATCATTGGCCATTGGTGATTGAACTCAATCTCCAGCCCTTCTCCCCTCCTTGTCCATCACAGTTCTGTCTCTCCTGCCCCTCGTGTATCCTCCACCATATAAAGCTTAGGGAGGTTAGGGAGTAGGACCAAAAGTTCCAACCCTCCAATCACATGGTTGGCTCCACTGGCAACCAGTTCAATCCTTAGGTGACCTAGGGGCTTTCCAAAAGTCACCTCATTAACATAAAAGACACCTTTATCATTCTCACCGCTTATGAAATTCCAAGGGTTTTAGGAACTCAGAATCCGGGATAAAGACTAAGTATATATTTCTTATATAAGTCACAATATCACACAGCTGGAGCTGACTGATACAGGCTCCTTCCCAGCTACACGGAGGTGGGTCCCAGCTGGTCACTGCTTTTCTTAGTTTTCTCTTGGTGGGGCTGTGTTCTTTATGTGATGTGAGGATACTCGAGGGGCAGGGAGAGACAGAACTGTGATGGACAGAACAAGGACCATTGGCCTGCCAGGGACTGGGGCCTCATCACCTGGAATTGTGTGGAAGATTCCCGGCCATGAATGTGACTCAGCCACCCCCAAGTCTCTGATCCCACATCCCCTCCTGTGGTTTCTCTTCCTGCATCAGCTCAGCTCCATCTCTCCAGCTGCCTCTGGTTCTCCCAGGTCCAGTTCCTGCTGCCTGTGGGCAAGAGAATCCGATTGGCTTGACTCACCACATCCTAGCTAAGCCTACGGATTTGCTGCTGTTGGGTCAGGTGACCCCCACTAGGCCAATCAGCTCTGCCCAGTGGGGTGGGGTCACATGGTTCCAACCTGTCCCAGAGGCACTTTCACTTGGAGGGGACTGTGGGTGAGCCCAGTGTGAGTGACACACCCACTACAGGGGCTCAGGGGAGGGGCCAGAGCCAGCACCAGTCTTTGGCCCCTCAAGAGCTGCTGGGAGCCTGGGTCTTGTCCCAGGGCAGATTCAATGGCTGGAATTACAGGGTGGAACTCACATCGCTCATAAGGCCTCATTCCCCAACCTACCACTACTATTTGGATAATAAACTGTTTGATTCCAAACCTTTTATTTATCTTTTCGTGTCTCAAATGCCCATTTCATTAGGAGGCATCAGGAGCAGTGAGAAGGAAGACAGCTCTGTCCCCTCTGTTCCTACCCCTCACCTGGCCAGACCTTCTGTCTCCGCTGAGGACCAAAGGTGTGAAGTGGAAGAGGGCCAGCACCTGTGAGGGCCACTGTAGGTACAGAACTGGTTCTCTGAGCCAGAGCCTGTCACCCACTGCAGCAAAGGCGGCTGAACTCTCACCAGCACGCACAGCTCCTGGGTTCCCATTTGGGAATAATGGTCACCACTGAAACATTTGCCTGAGCTCACCTTAGCTCTTCCCCAAGCCTCACCTGCAGCTTATAATGAAAGTAAATCTCACCAAATTACGTCACTCACACAGGCATTTATTAAACATGTTCACCACAGAGGCACAGAGCTGTCATCCATCCTGTTCTGAAAGCTGAATGAAGACACAAGCCTCTGTCCTTTTAGGTGCTGTGACCCCATCTTGCATGAAAGGTTCACCCAGCGCAGGATTCTGTTGTCCGAACTGTCAGCCTTAGGTAACCAGAAATCATCCCGCAGGGAGGGCACGGGCATAGCCAGAGATCAGCTTCGGGTGTCGCCCCTAAAGAACGGTCTGCAGTCTCCTCTCTCACACTCTGCTCCCACAAGGTGAGGAGGGTCTGAGATGCGGTAGCCAGTCCACCTCCCGTGAACAGCGCCCACTTCGCCAGTGAGAGGTCCTTTCTACCCCTGTTACGCTGATCATCGAGTCCTTAATTTGTCCAAGGAAAAACCATTTTGAATATTCACTGTGCTGATTCAAAACACATCCGGTGATCAGAGATAAAGACATTGTGGTAACTGCCTCTTTCAGACACAGTGCCAGCCTGCTGCCCTGGGTGTGGTTTCCTGAGTAGAAGCTGGCCACACCTGGGAGTCCTTGGGGGAACCCAGCCTCTATCCTTCTTGTTTCTGAGGCAGCAGGAGAATGCGCCTAGGGACTGAGCATGACTTCTATCCAGAAAAGTCTAAAGGGAGGAGGTCAGCTAGAGCTGCCCAGAGAGCAAAGCAGACAAGGAGGGCGTAGAGAGCAGTCTGATGGGGCCAACACGTGCCCTGCGGAGGAAAGGCAGAGGGGATCCCCACAAACCTGGCCTCCTGCCTTCACTCCTCACCAGCCCTCCCGAGGAAATCCACAGAGCCCTCCGCCCCCCTCATCTCCTGAAGCTCCCAGAGCAGGACTCACCCTCATGCTGTGTAGGATGCAGGGGGCTCCTGGGAAATCTGTAGTGGGCTTCGTCTTCACGTCCCCCACCTCCCACTTCAGCGTCCCTCCTTCCTGACCCCTTGTTGCTTCCCCTACTCCCACCCTGATCACTTATTTCAAAGAATCCACCCGCCACAGCCACACTCACCTCCCCACCACCCTGGTTCCAGGCCACACACAAACACACACCAAGACTTACCCGTCCGAAGTCCCATTTCTTCCATGTCCTACCAGTGATCTGAAAGCCATGATAGGACTCATTTTTACTAAAATTCCAGTGGCTTAAAAAGAGATTGAATGCAAATGTCACGTGGGAAGGCAAATGCTAAAACCTGAATTCAATATGGCAAATTTCAGGCAGAGGTGGGCAGATAGAAACAGACTGGGGTTAGGAGGCCGTCCCCCCAAAACCTACAGAGGGACTGATGGGAGTGGCCAGTGATGACCCTGGCAGCTCTCCAGGTGACCCAGCCATGAGGAGCTGGGACACTGGCCCTTTCTCTGCAGCGAGAGGGGCTGCTGAGGGGTCCTGTGCTCTCCGCACTGCTGTCACCCTGGCAGGTGGCTCCCCTGAGCACCTGTCCCCTCACCCAGGGCAGCACAGGGTCTCTCGCCTGGAGGACGTCTCCATGGCGCATCCAGTCGGCTGGCAGCCCTGAGAGCTCACTTGTTTCTCTCACAACCCTGTTGTCCCAGATCCCAACCACCTTCAGAACATGGTGATTCTGGTGGATGCACACGGAGGAAAACACCTAGCCATCCACAAGGCAGGAGGTCAACACTGGAGACTTCCCTGTGTCCTGCCAGCTGTCCCACAGCTCTAAGATGGGGACAGAGATGCTGTCTTACAAAAGTAACAGAATGACATTAAAAGAGGAACCTGCATCATACTACACAGGCCTCAGGATTCTTGTTTCTCCAGCAACAGTCTGGATTAACTTTTCCTGAGCTGAAACACAGTCTGTGGAAGATATGCATGCTCTCTAAAGCAAGTTATAGTCCTAAAACAAAGTTTTCTTGAGACCAAGGATTGTCCAGAGGCAGCACAACCATTTTATGAGCTTATCAGGAGAAAGTACAGAGAGTGACATCAGCATTGTGGCAGAGTGAGGTCTCTCAAACATCCTTCCCCTAGAATACACAATGGAAAAAACATCCATACTCCAACAGAGGACACCCAAACACAACACAAAAACATCAGATATATCCACACAGCTGTACAACAGAGGGCAGAGAGGCTGGAGCCCCTCTCAGAGGAGGTGTAACAGGGCATGAGAAATCTTCACTCCCTCCCCTAAAGACCGTAATCTGGGACCCCAGGAGGGGGAGGGGACGTTCATTCTCGGAAACGTCAGGGACTCCCAAGGGCCCTTGCAGCCTAGAGGGAAGCCCTCTGCCAGGGTGAAAGCTTTCCCCGGGGGATGGCCTCGTCAAGCCAACATCCCAGGAGAGTAGATAACAAGAGCAGAGGGAGAAAACCCTGAGAGCTCACAGGAGGAAGCACTCCTCCCCTCACCTGCCCAGCACCCGGCTCCAGCCTCTGGGATCTTGGCTGAAGGCAGAGGGCTCAGCATACACGGCTCTTGACCCCCACCTAGTGGCAACAGGCAGTAACTGTGACCAAATAATGCCGGATGCAAAAGAACAGAGCCACTCCCTCTAGCAATATCAAAAACTACATTAGACCTCCAGACCAGAAAGAAAATGACAAGTACCCAGAAATCACTCCCGAGGACGCAGAAATATGTAATATAAATGACAAAGAATTCAGAACAGGTATCATCAAAAAACTCAACGAGGTAAAAGAGAAGGTAAGGAAACAATTTAATGAGTTCTGGAGCCACTTCACAAAAGACACTGAAACTATAAAGAAGAATCAATTAGAAATATTAGAGATGAAAGACACAATGGAAGAAATAAAACAAAATATGGATTCCCTGAATGCTTGAGCAGACACCATAAAGGAGCGTATCAGCATAATTGAAGATAGACATGTTGAAATGCTCCAGATAGAGGAGGAGAGAGAGCTAAGGCTGAAAAGAAATGAAGAAAGTCTCCGAGAAATATCTGACTTAATTAGGAAATGTAACATAAGAATTATAGGTGTTCAAGAAGGAGAAGAGAAGGAGAATGGAGCAGAAAGCTTGTTCAAAGAAATAATAGCAGAGAACTTCCCAAACCTAGGGAAGGAAATTCATGTGGAAGAGGCTGCCAGATCTCCTAAATATGTCAATGTAAAAAGACGTACTGTAGGGCATATAGTAGTGAAACTGGAAAAACTGAATGACAAAGAAAGAATACTAGGGGCAGCAAGGCAGAAGAAAATAACCTACAAAGGAACCTGCATCAGGCTTTCAGTGGATTTCTCTGCTGAAACTTTACAGGGAAGGAGAGACTGGAATGACATATTCAAATCATTGAGGGACAAAAACTTTCAGCCAAGAATACTCTATCCAGCAAAAATATCCTTCAGATATGATGGAGAAATAAAAACTTTTGCAGACAGACATAAGCTAAGGGAGTTAGTAGCCATGAGATGCCTCGCCCCACAAGAAATCCTCAAGAAGGCCCTCATACCTGAAAAAGAGAAGGGAGAAAGGGGTTACAAAGCACGGAGTAAGGAGTTAAATAGGTAGACAGAGTCAGAGCAGGATAGCAAATACTCAAGTATAGCATTAAAGAAAAAGGGAAGGAAAATACCAAAAACAAAGATAATCTTGTCATTTTAACCACAAACTCATAACACAAGATGGAATAAGATGTGAGAAAAACAACTTAGGAGGGGAGGAGGAAAGGGTTTAGTCTAAGGAAATTAGAGGCCATCAGAAAAGGGACTATCTTATCCACAAGATTTGGAAGCCAAACCTCAGGGTAATAACTAAGCAAAAAAGCAGAACAGAGACACAAATAATAAATAAGGAGAAAACAAAGGAACACGATGCAAAAAACTACATAACTTGATTGGTAGACCAAAATACACAGGATGAGAAACAGAGGAAATGCAGGAGAACCAGAAAATGAGTGATAAAATGGCAACATTAAGCCCTCATATATTAATAATCACCCTAAACACAAATGGATTGAATCCTCCAACAAAAAGACACAGAGTGGCGAGACGGATTAAAGAACAAGATCCAACAATATGCTGCCTCCAGGAAACACATCTCAGCTCCGACGACAAACACAGGCTCAGAGTGAAGGGGTGGAACATGATACTCCAAGCTAATGGTAAACAAAAGAAAGCAGGTGTTGCAATACTTATATCAGACAAAGGAGAATTCAAGATAAGGTAGGTAAAGAGAGACAAAGAGGGGCAATATGTAATGATCAAAGGGACACTCCATCAAGAAGAAATAACGCTTATAAATATCTAGGCACCCAACACAGGAGCACCAAAGTTCATAAACCAACTATTAACAAACCTAAAAGAAGATATTAAAAACAACCCAATAATAGCATGGGACCTCAATACCCCACTCACATCATTGAACAGATCATCCAGACAGAAAATCAACAAGGAAACACTGGAATTAAATGAAAAGCTAAACCAGTTGGACTTAATAGACATATATAGAACACTCCATCCATAAACAGCAGAATACACATTCTTCTCAAGTGCACATGGAACATTCTCAAGGATACACCATATCTTGGGAAACAAGGCAAGTCTCTATAAATTTAAAAAAATTGAAATAATAACAAGCATCTTCTCTGATCATAATGCTATAAAGCTAGAAATTAATTACAAGAAAAATGCGGAGAGAGGGACAAAGATATGGAGACTAAACAATATGCTATTGAACAAGCAGTGGATCATTGGAGAAATTAAAGGTGAAATAAAAAAATATCTGAGACAAGTGAAAATGATAACATGCCATACCAACTCATATGGGATGAAGCAAAAGCCATATTAAGAGGGAAATTCATCCCAATATAGGCACACCTTAACAAACAAGAAAAATCCCAAATAAGCAATCTCAAATTACACCTAACTGAATTAGAAAAGAAAAACAAACAAAGCCCAAAGCAGAAGAGGGAGTGAAATAACAAAAATCAGAGCAGAAATAAATGCTATTGAAACAAAAAAGGCAGTAGAAAGGATCAATGAAATAAAGAGCTGTTTCTCTGAGAAGATAAATAAAATCGACAAACCCCTGGACAGACTTACAAAGAAAAAAAGAGAGAAAGCTCAAATAAACAAAATCAGAAATGAAAGAGGAGAAATAACAACAGACTCCACAGAAATACAATGGATTATAAGAGAATACTATGAAAAGTTAAATGCCAACAAAATGGATAACCTAGAGGAAGTGGATAAATTCTTAGACTCTTACAATCTCCCAAAGCTGAGTCAAGAAGAAGCAGACAATCTGAATAGACCAATCACAAGGAAGGAGATTGTAACAGCAATCAAAAGCACCCAAAGAATAAAACCCCAGGTCAGACGGCTTTCCTGGGGAATTCTACCAAACTTTCAGAGAGGATTTAATACCATCCTTTTCAAGCTATTCCAAAAAATTAGGGAAGATAGATTGCTGCCTAATACATTCTACAAGGCCAACATCACTCTGGTACCAAAGCCTGACAAGGACAGCATGAAAAAAGAGAACTACAGGCCAATATCGCTGATGAACATAGATGCAAAAATTCTCAACAAAATTTTGGCAACCCGAATTCAGCAATACATCAAAAGGATCATACATCATGATCAAGTGGGATTCATACCAGGGGCACAGGGTTGGTTCAACATCCACAAATCAATCAATGTGATACACCACATCAACAAACTGAGGAATAAAAACCACATGATCATCTCAATAGATGCAGAGAAAGCATTGGACAAGATCCAACATCCATTTATGATAAAAACTCTGAATAAAATGGGGGTAGAAGGAAATTACCTCAACATAACAAAGGCCATATATGACAAACCCACAGGCAACATCATACTCAATGGGCAAAAACTGAGCACCATCCCCCTGAGAACAGGAACAAGACAAGGATGCCCACTATCACCACTCTTATTCCACATAGTACTGGAGGTTTTGGCCAGAGCAAACAGGCAAAAGAAAGGAATAAAAGGAATCCAAATAGGGAATGAAGAAGAGAAACTTTCGCTGTTTGTAGACGACATGATCTTATACATAGAAAATCAAAAAAAAATCCATTGGAAAAGTAATAGAAATAATTAACAACCACAGTAAAGTTGCAGGGTACAGAGTCCATTTACAAAAATCAGTTGCTTTTCTATACTCCAATAATGAACTTACAGAAAGAGAACTCAAGAATATAATTCCATTTGCAATCGCAACTGAAAAAATAAAGTACCTAGGAATAAATTTAACCAAGGAGATAAGGAATTATACAATGAAAACTATAAGACATTACTGAGAGAAATTGATATGACTTAAAGAGATGGAAAGAGATTCCTTGCTCATGGATTGGAAGAACAAACATAGTTAAATTGTCCATACTACCCAAAGCAATCTACAGATTCAGTGCAATCCCTATCAGAATCCCAAGGACATTCTTCATGGGAATAGAGCAAAGAATCCGAAAACTCATATGGGGCAATCAAAGACCCCGAATTGCTAAAGCAATCCTGAGAAAAAAGAACAAAGCTGGAGGTATCACAATCCCTGACTTCAAAATGTACTACAAAGCCATCATGACCAAAATGGCATGGTACTGGCACAAAAACAGGCACACAGATGAATGGAACAGAACTGAAAGCCCAGAAATAAAACCACACATCTACGGACAGCTAATCTTCGACAAAGGTGCCAAGAACATACAGTGGAGAAAAGATAGTCTCATCAATAAATGATGTTAGGAAAACTGGACAGCCACATGCAAAAGAATGAAGGTAGACCACTGTCTCACACCATACACAAAAATAAACTCAAAATGGATCAAAGACTTGAAGATATGACCTGAAACTATAAAACCCCTGGAAGATAATACTGGTGGGACACTCTTTGACATTGAACTAAAAAGGATCTTTTCAGATGCAACTTGTCCTCTCAGACAAGGGAAACAAAAGAAAAAGTAAACAAGTGGGGAGTTCATCAGACTAAAGATCTTCTGCAACGCAAAAGAAACTAGGATCAAAACAAAGAGACAACCCACCAATTGGGAGAAAATATTTGCAAATCATATATCTGACAAGGGGTTAATCTCCATAATATATAAGGAACTCACACAGCTGAACAATAAGAAAGCAAACAACCTGATCAAAAAGTGGGCAGAGGAGATGAACATTTTTCAAAAGAAGATATACAGATGGCCAAAAGGCACATGAAAAGATGTTCAACATCACTAATCACCAGGGAAATGCAAATCAAAACTACCCGAAGATACCAACTTATGCATGTTAAAATGGCCATAATCACTAAGACTAAAAATAACAAATGTTGGAGAGGGTGTGGAGAGAAGGGAACCCTCACACAGTGCTGGGGGGAATGCAAACTGGTGCAGCCACCATGGAAAACAGTATGGAGATTCCTCAAAACACTAAAAATAGACCTACCCTATGACCCAGCTATCCCACTA